GGGTTTAGGGTTTATGGGACTTAGTAAGCAAGGTTATGAGTTATGAGGACCTTAGTTTGAGGTCGTCAGAAATTCAGCTACAGTATTATAGCTACCTTATTTGTTGCCTTACTTACCAAGTCCCCCTGAACCCTAAACCCTCAAACCCTAGTATCCCTTGTAAAACCTAAAACCAAACCCCCACAAGCCAGCCTCGAGGTCTTCCGGACCCTCATGACCCCCCGGTTTGGGGGTTTAGGGACCCCCCGCCGCTCATCTCAGACCTTGGTGTTTTTTAAGCTCTTTTCCCAAAACCCTATAAACCGTAGAACTCGTACCTCCGGATCTTCCGGATCCTTATTATCCCAAAAGCCTTCAACCCTACACCCCTCTAGACTCCAAACCTTCCAGCCCTAAACCCCCCCAAAACCCTAAACCCTAAACCCTAAAGTCTGAAACCGCTAAACTCTAAAACCCTTTTGAAACCGGACTTGACGACTGCCAGCATTGCCTCCTCTGAAACCCTAAACCCTAAAACCCTAAACCCTAAACTCGAAAGCCCCAAACCCCAAAACCCTAAACTCTGAAAGCCTAAACTCTAAAGCCCCAAACCCTAAAACAGCCAGCCTCCATATCCTCCGGATCCAGCTCCCGCCGCCAAAAGGGAGGCCAAAGGCGCTGTTGGAACTCCCGGAGGTATCCGGCCTGGGACGTCGGATTTAGAGGGCGTTTCAAGGCTGTCTCATTGGGTCTTTGTGTGGTCTTTCGTTGGGTTTTAGAGGTTATGGGGTGTCGGGTTTTAGGGTTGTTTAGGATCTAAGTTTCTTGTTTTGGTCAGAGGGGCTTCTTTTGGAGTTCCCAGGTTTGGGGCCTTATGTACATCATGAGGGGTTTGGCGCACTTTTGGTGCTTTGGGGGCTTGACAGTTTAGGGGCCTCGCCAGGCAAAGGGCTAGCAAGGTTTGGGGCTTGGAGCACTCGGCAACATGTGAACTTAGGCTTCAGGAGGGGGTCTGGAGACCTACCTACTACACTCAGTTACCCTATGGTGCCGTTACAACCATCAAATGCCCATACTGGCAACTGTATCGCTACGTAGAACTCAGTTTCTTTGTCTCCCGTTCTTCTAGGGAACTGAATATTTGGTTCGGGTTTGGGTATATTCTTATAGTATATATAGTCCTAGTGAAGGTAATTACACAGGCCCCGAAAGCAAGCGGAGTTCGCGGAGGTGGAAGATGAGTCTGGCAAAGCCTCTTTAGCAAAGAAGATGCCGGCTGCGCGAACAAAGCCCAATCACGTGGCACCCTATAAAACCATGTCAAAGCCTAATCATTTTATCACTCCATTGAACTGCTTAAAAACAAGTAAAAGCCCCTAAACCCTCTTTGCTGCTGGACCCAAGTCTAGCCAGATTAAACTTTAAACCCTAAACATCATGAAGTCATAAAACACCGATATAAGAGTTAAACGTCAAACAAAACTTATACAGAACCCTATGGATATTGTTCTCATAAACAGAACCCTATGGATATTGTTCTCATAAATTAACCTGAATCAGGGCTTCTTTATTTTGGGGGATACCTTCGTCAGGATTCCTAACATCCAGGATCCGATACTACTCAGGACTTAGGCTAGAAACTAGGCGCCGCATTTTGTGCCCTGAGTTCCCAAGTCCGAATCCGAAATCCTGAAGCAAGCCTCTGCCGCAAAAAGCAGGGCCGACGAGGCCCACCGTGTGTCCCAGATCCTGCAAACGGCGTAGCAACTCTCAGGAGAACAGCACATACCACGGTTCATGCAGGGCCAGGGGTAAGTTTAACATTCATCCCGCGATGAAGCGAATCGATAAGTTCGGCTGAAGACTTCAACCAGTAAAAAAGGAGTCGCAAGCCCATTCCTGCAAGGACGCCGGTTCTCGGGTTCACTTTCCATTCCACAACACTCCCATGGTCAGCATAAGGCTAGGATTCCGAGATGCAGGCGGCTCAGGCAGAACTAACTTTCCCAGGCCACCGGGTGCCTGAACGTTTGCAGTCACAGGAACTCCATCTGCACAAGGAACTGCCAACTCTTGTCCCAAGCCAGATAGCTGCTTGCTCACTTCTCACTTGTAGTATAAGGTACGATCACGCAGCCATGCAGACTTTTGTTGGGTGTCAGCTTGGATTCCGGAACGCTTGCTTCGAATAGCTGCCGTAACATAGAACTTAGAACATTGAACCGGAAAAATCTTGTACGACCCTGTGAAGCGAACCCCAACCCTGAAAGGAACCCGAATGTAGAACCTCCATAATGCCATCCCAGTATCTTTCGTGTGCCGAAGACTGTGAGCTTGGGCGTGCGCTCGCCGGCATAGCGGCGGACGTTGGCGTACCTTGGAAAAGCAGATGGCCCCATTATCAACAGGGTTGGGCATTGTAGCGCGTTTACGGTTCCGGGTTTAGCCTTTGTTCCAATCCCGCCCACGTTGTGGATGCGATGTTATATCGTCCCGTTGGTACTGAAAGCAGCAAAGCCAGCTGTGGCCATCCTTGCTGCGGTTGTGGTTTGTCGACGTTCATTCCAACGAGTATCCACGCTGTTGCCGCTGTTGCTGCTGTTGGAACTGTCAATTTGCACCCCAGCCCCTGCCCTCCATGAACTTGGGTGCAGTGAAGCCAGCATTTAGCCACCACTCCCCGGTCCTAAACCCTAAACCCCTAAAACCTAACTCTAAAACCCTAAACCCTGAACCCTCAAGCCCTAACCTAGAGCCAGCAGTTCTGCTCAGATGCGAATACTTCACGGCCTTCCACTGTGCCTGGGCGCAGATCTCGGTAAGGCTTTTCGGCTCCCTGGTTCTTAGGAGCAGGGTTTAGGGTTTAGGGTTTAGGGTTTAGGTTTTAGGGCTTTTGAGGATTTTGCAGAAGCCTAAACTCCTCGAACTCACGACGCACCCGACAAGGTCCAAACATCTCTGTTCGAGGAAGTCTGGGGTTGGTGAGCCTGAAAGACTCCACCCAGGAGGCGGGGCGGCCTAAGCCTTGAGTTTAGGGTTTAGGGTTTAGGGGTTTAGGGTTTAGGGTTTAACGCCTCAATGTATCCATGTAGTCTATGGGTAGTTCTTTAAATCAGGGTCCCTACTTAGGGTCCTCTTTATAAGGACTGCCGCACTATATTGGGGACCCTAAAAGGGATCCTGATTTAGAGAACTACCCAAACATTAGGCCTTAGAAGGGCTTCTAAAAAAACGGCGGCCCGAGAACATAGCACATACCTTAAGGACGAAATGAACCCCAAAAGAGTTTAAGGTTCATATACCATATAAGGATTCATAGTATAAGGGTATAGGGCCCCTACTTTTGGGTTTATAATGCCTAATGTCCTCTGAGGGTGAGGTTTAGGGTTTAGGGCTTTCGGTTTGAAAAACAGCAACAGCAACAGTGCCAGCGGCAGCGCCAGCAGCAGCAGCAGCAGCAGCGCTTATGGCAATAGCACTTGTTGAGTGTCTGCTGCCTCCATGTACATGGTCCTGCCCGCAAGCATACATCTCGAGCCAGTGCTCTGTCGCTTATCTTGATTATTCAAACCGTGCGGTGCATAATGCTAAAGCAAGATCGCAGACCTCGAGTCCTGAATTTCAAGACAAACGGAGGCCACAATTTCGAGCCTGTGCTATAGGGATCACATGTCGCTCGTCCGGGTTACCAATGCCGCAGACCAAGCAGACGAACGAAGTGGACGGCATCCCGGCACTCCTGTTGGGGAAACCTTGGGGAGATTCAGGCGACGATTTCCTGCGGTAGCCTCTGCGTCTGAGCCGCAGATCAGGAGACCATCCACGGGTTCCCAAAGAAGCGACATACCGCCGCCTTCGACGGAACTGGAGTGCAGTCGCCGAAACAAGAAACGGATAGCGCCAGCGCCGAAACCCAGCATGGCTCCACATCTCCGCTCCAAATCGGCGACCTCCTCCAGAGACTTGTCATCCGTGGATTTGACTGGGTTCCTTGCAAGTGACAGTGAAGCTGCCACAGGGCAGGACCCCGCATGGCTTTCAGAGGACGATCAGGATTTCGATTTGGGTGGGAGGTTGACCCCTCCGTGTAATCCTGTGATAGCAGTTTCGGACCGCACAGCATCCCCAGGTGATGCTCCGGTAACCCGCAGAGCGTGTGCGA